GAAAGGAAGAAAGCGCTTTAGACAGTGGGATGTCGGGGGAGAAGACTGCCTCACCAGCCATAAACCTCACAACTTGTTTCAAAGTTTCTGCAGCTCCCCCGATTGTCATTGGCCCATATAATCGACCACAGAGACACTGCAGCACACCCACTGACCTATTCCCCACATCCTGCTTACTGTGTTCCCTCAGATACCTGGCCTGCTTTTCCACCTCACCGGCTTCTACACACTCCTCCCCACCCACCCCAGTCACCATGCCCCCACTTATCTTTCAAATATATCCAGAACTCAGAAAGATGGAGTAGGAAAGGCACTGGGCCATATGGCACAATCGAGGAGAAGAAATACTATTGGTTTTGCTTTCTTCCCTATACTTTGTTCCCCCAGTGCCAGCAACACTAGTGTAAAGATAGCATTGCTGGCACTCGGAGAGGCAAAGATTGTGAAGAAAGTAAAACCAGCAGGATTCCTTCTCCAGCATTACCAGCGCTAACGTAAAGCTAGTGCTGCTGGTCCTGGGGGAGCAAAACATTGCAAGGATAGCAGAACCGAAAGGATTTCTTCCCCTCAATTCTGCCATGTGGCCCAGCAATGGAGCGGCCTTGTCTACTCCAACTTCCTGAGCTCTGGACATCCGTGAAAGGTAAGTGAGTGATTATGGCAGGTTAGATAGGGAGGAGATCTTAGGGAAGTGGGGAACCCAAGCGGCAGGAAGCGAGCATGGAGTATCTCAGAATGTAGGAGGAAGCCTTGGGAGGTCCAATGTGGGTGGGCCTGTCCCTGCACTAGACCTCACATGATTTCCCACATTCGTCACCCCTTGCTCTGATTAATGACCCATGCATCCGTTTAATGAATGCATTGGGGGGAGCAGAGATAGGGAGTTTGTTGATGATGTGTTCATTTAATATGGACCCCAACTTTTGACAGTAATGGATAGGTTCCATAACTCTTGTAAATCAAAACTATCTGTAAGTCCTCTTCTAGAGAGATCCTGACTTCCAACAGGGATTGAAAGGCAGACTACAATAGTGTGGTGTAATAGATAGGCAGTATAATTTAAGATTATGGAAGCTGCCTTGGGGCTTTGGATCAGTCACTCTTTCAGATTCCAGCCTTTCCTGAAGCATTCTCATGAGGCTCCAAGGATGGGGGATCATGGACACTAGTCTAAACTCTTTGGACAATGGTGAAAATAGAAACAAATCTCCACCAGTCAATTGCAAAAAGCAGTCTTAGTTGGAACAGCTTGTATCCTGTGACGATACCTTTAACATCAACAAAAACCAATATCTTTCTATCTCAGTCCTTAGGAAGGACTCAAGAGATGGACAAAAGTAGGCAAATCCAGTCTAAACACCTGGCTGACTATGCAATCAACAATAATAATAAATTATGCATTTCAATTTCTCCAGGGGCTTGGGTTCACTCAACAGCATTGCATTTTCTAAGTCCTGCGTGGCCTAGAACATTCTTCCCCATTCCTAGCAGATTTTATGCCTATGTCCATCAGGCAGTCCCCAGTTTTATGCCATTTTCCTAACACAGAAAGAGGTGCCCAAAAGCAAAAAGCAGCGTATCTTTGCATCTGTTTCTCTAACAGAGGTTGCTGCCTGCCACTGAAATTGAAAAAGAATTAACTGCAACTCACCTATATGGTGTAAGGAGTTCAGCATAGCCCACCACACCATCCACTAATGAATTTTTATATGGATAATTCTGTTTCCTACCAGTAAAATGCTTATCTAGGCATTATCTATCTATAAATTTAGGATGGTTTTCATAATTACCAGCGGTATAACAAGAATTGTTAGGAGAGGTTTCAGGCATGTTTTGCAGGCAACGAAATAATGTAACCAGACTGAGATCATCTCCAACGACGTGGGCTTTTTTCCTCTGAATCAAATGTCCCATTACAAACATTTCATCTGTATATAAAACCTGAACAAATAAATTTCATTATGACTTTAAATTAATACTTCAGACAGATTAGTAAAAGAACTTTTTTCTCTATTTTACCTGACCATATATGAAGAAGTAGCCAGCTTCTCTGACCAGTATTTTATTTCCATGTTCTTCTAGAGCTGTTCCTCTTTTAAAGCTAAGAAGCCAGGGAACTATACTTGAGTCATCTGAAAAATTATTAGTATCTCATTAAACATGGATTGACTATTTTCCTTGTATATTTCCTATGTTTTTTTTTAAAGAAAAAAAATATTATAGCTTTCAGATGAGTAGCTCAAACAGAAACTAAGAACAAGTATTAATGTTTGATGAGTAATTCAGATAAATATGGTAAGCCATGATTAATGGTTGAGGATACAAAGGGAAGGGAAGGATGAATCACTAAAAGGTAATTTACCTTTTATCTTTTCACTATGACTTTTTAAATTCAAATGTAGCAGTGCTTTTGTATCATCTTGCTTTTTTCAACTTTCTTTTGTAATACAATATTTGCTTTTTTCAATATTCTTTTTAATCTATTTCAATTTTTAACAATACATATGGATTTTTAAAAAGAGATAAGTAGCTTTACCAAGGTAAAGTCCAAAGATCTTCAGGAACAGCCTCCTGACAGAAGCCATATTTTTATGGATCTACCAGGGTTCAGATTCTATCTAAATTCACTTCAGAAGGTTGGTGAACTAGAAGAATGCAGTGGAATGTAGGAGAACGTTTGTAGTCAGGTGTCCTGTGTAGATTTTTAGCATATAAGCTATAGAAACAAACAAACCTTTTGGGACAAAGAAACCATAATTGGTTGTGTCATCCATTGAAACAATGGATCATCAGAGTCGAAAACTTGAACCTCTAATGTTGTTTCAGAGTTTCCCCTAAAAGTGGGAAAGGTAGAGTGGTAAAATGCTAATAAATATAACTGGATTTTCCCTTCCTGCATTATTTAAAAACATGTTTGAGCAATTATAATGCAACGGCAGAATATGTTTACTCACAGAAAATTTGTGGGTTGTACTAAATCAAGTTAAGAAATTAATACATTACCATGTTGCCGAATGGTACTTTTGCTGTCAGCCATCAATTGCAGACATGACTGTAGTACTAGAAAGATATATTTCATATTAGAGAGAAGGGGGAGAAAACAAGGAAATTAACATGGGATTCAAGTAAAAGAAATAAAAAAATAATTCGTTGCAAGAAAGTTTTGATTGTAACTCTTCCTACACTACTAATGAGTTTTTAATTCAAACTGGTTCAAGGGAATTTGCATTCATATTCTGTAACGAATACATGTTGCCAGGGGCCCATTCAAAAAAAAAAGACAGTTTAGAATTATAGTATTGCTAATATTATACTTTGGGGGGAAATGAACCATGTTAATAAGAGCAAGTATAAGATGTAATACACAAGATAGGGTTAGTTCACCTTTGATTAGATGCATATGAGTTGAATTCCACTGACTGATCAGGGAAAGAGAGAGAAGGATTAAAGTTCATCAAGCAACAATTCATCTAAAGAGTGGAAGCTTGAAAGACATCCATCTTTTCAGCAGGAAAGTTTGCTATTACAGATACCTCTGGTCTACCCTGCCAGCATCTGATATTGTGACCATATAAGCACCCCGCCCCCCATGCTCAGCCACAATTCTTAATGTCCTGGACCCTGAGGTGTTTTTCCAGAGACAACTATGATCTCCAATCAGATCTTATTTCATCCAACCAGATCTTATCTTACCTGTTTCTCCTCTCTGAGAGGGGGATCTTTTCCCTCTATGGCTGTCTCCAGTCCACATTATGTTTCGGTTTCCTCGATGTGATCCCCAAACAATGCCCTGACAAAACACGGGCAAATAAGCATCATGAAGGGTGTAATTCCTCTAGTGCCCAAAGGATTTCAACTCACCTGGCTGGAAACTGCATTGGCCACCTTCCAGTATGGAATGAAAGGGCTGGCTGCCTTGGTTTCTCCCAAGGGCTCCACAAGCTGGGGAAATGAATTCCTTGCCTGATTCTTGCCATTCAGCTTGCTAGTGAGGACTGCTAGTTCTGTTTTTAGTGCAACAACATAGTAAAGAGATGCGGCCGCCAGGCAAGAGGAGACAAACACTGCAAGTCCAAGAAAGATGAATAGGAGCCCTTTGCAATCAAAGCCATTAACAGAAGGAGAGGAAGAGGAGGAAGACCCACAAGTGGTGAAGGTATTGCCTTTTTCTCGCGGGAAATTCATAGATTTCATGACTGTTATTAAAGCCAAGTAGAAACTTCAGCTACTTCTCATTCTGTGCAATGCAAACATTTGGCCAGTTGCATCCAAGCTACGTGGTCAAAATCCAATACTGCGTGTTTCCGGTCATGAGAACCTGCTGATGCCACATATGTTGTTTCTGCTCTGCATCTGCACAATGTGAAGCTCTGTTTCTGTATTTTAGCAATGAATCTTCCTCATTTTGGTTCCTGCTTCATTTATTACCCATTATCCTCATTATGCAACCCCATGTCCTTGCCTGACTGCACAATCTCTACCAATGAACTTGCATTTTGCAGCTGGGCATTAATTTCCTCGTTGGCAAATGAGTGCTGGGTGGGAGAATTTTTTTAAAAAGTGGGACTTCTGTCCATTTATAGTTCCCTCGTAGGCTACATATATCCCCTCTCATTAGGTCTGCTGTTGCAGAAGCATTGCATCAGTTCCAGATATTCTTTTTTTCCCCAAAGAATTTTTTATTTTTTTATTCTCTTACATACCATTTTAAGTATACATTCACATNATCTTCACCAAGCTGGACTTGAGAGAGGCGTATTACCACATACGGATCAGAGAGGGAGATGAGTGGAAGACCGCTTTTAACAACCCCCTTGGCAGTTTTCAATACAAAGTCATGTCATTTGGGCTACAAGGAGCACCCACAGTCTCCATGCAGTACATAAATGAGGTGCTACGTGAGCACCTGTACCACGGAGTGCTTGTTTATCTAGATGACATCTTGATCTTCTCTGAAACCCTAGAAGAACACGTGAAGCTGTTACGGCAAGTCCTGAAAAAACTTCTGGCTGCCAAGCTATACGCAAAGTTGTCAAAGTGTGAATTCCACAAGACCTCACTAGATTACTTGGGTTATCAAATTTCCAACAACGGGATAGAAATGGATCCAGGAAAAGTGAAAGCTGTGTTAGACTGGAAACCTCCAAGCACTCGCAGACAAATACAAAGCTTCCTTAGATTTGCCAATTTCTACAGGCAGTTCATTCCAACTTTTGCAGAAATTGCCCTCCCATTGACTGAGCTATTAAAAACGGGGCCTTCCCCAATGAAGCTAAAAGCAAACCAACCCCTGAAGTGGACAATGGACTGTCAAAAAGCCTTTGAGAAATTAAAACAGCTCTTTGCCCAAGAGCCCATACTGCAACACCCCGACCCAGCACGACCATTCATAATCCAGACGGATGCCAGTGATGTAGCAATAGCTGCAATGCTACTGCAAAAGAATAAAGGGGGCCACCTCTTGCCGTGCGCTTACATCTCCAAGAAACTCACCACTACTGAAAGGAGGTGGGTCATTTGGGAGAAAGAAGCATTTGCGATCAGGTGGAGCCTGCTCACGTGGAGACATCTCCTGGAAGGGGGGGATATGCTGTTCGAGGTCTGGAATGATCATAAAAACCTCGAAGCTCTCCAAGCCTATTGAAGGTTATCCCCCAAACAAGTTTGCTGGGCACAATACTTCCAAAGGTTCAAATTTGAAATTAAAAACATCCCTGCATGGAAGAACCTGTTGGCAGATGCTTTGTCGAGAAAACTGCAGTATGACAGTAAGAAGGAAGAAATTGTTCACCCCATCATTTCTTCCTCCCACCAAAAGGTGGCCCAGGTCACCACCCGAAGCCAGGATAATCTGACGACAGAGCTCAAAGCAGCACTCCCGGCAGACCCGTGGTTCAACGATAACAAGGACATCCTAACGATGAGCAGTGGCTTAGCCTGGAAGGGGTCCAAATGGTACGTCCCTGCGGGGTTGAGGCTGAAGTCCTACAGCAAAGCCATGAGGCAGAACTAGGAGGCCACTTTGGTTTCCTAAAAACGCTCCACCTCGCCAGGCTTCAATTTTGGTGGCCAAAGATGAAATCGGAGGTGGAAGATTATGTAAAAAGCTGTGCTACTTGCGCAACGATGAAAACACGGCCGGGGAAGCCCCCTGGACTACTACAATGAGTGGCCAGCCCTAACCGACCATGGAAAGAGATCGCAATGGACTTCATCGTTGAGCTCCCAGACAGCAGCGGGAATAGAGTAATCTGGACAGTTATTGATTTGTTTTCCAAGCAGGCGCATTTCATTGCTTGCTCAGGGTTGCCGTCCACAAAGAAATTAGCGAAAATGTTTGTGAAACACATTTATTGCCTGCACAGAGTGCCCAAAAGTATAATTTCAGACCGCAGAGTTCAATTCACCGCCAGGTTCTGGAGAGAGTTCCTGAGATCCATCGGGTCCACGCAAAGACTCAGTGCAGCGTTTTATCCCAGCACAAATGGCGCAGCGGAGAGGGCCAATGCGATGGTGGAACAATACATCTGGTGTTATGTGGACCATCAGCAAGACAACTGGTCGGACTTGCTACCCTTTGCCAAAGTGGCGTACAACAATGCGGTCCACAGCAGCACTGGATTAACTCCTTTCCAGATTACCAGTGGCATGGAATTTGTTGCCATGCCTGAGTTGTCTAGAGAACCTCCCTTCTCCATGTTGCTGAATGAATGGATGGACACACTACAGAAAGGATAGGAAAATATGAAGAAAGCTCTAGGAGATGCAGCAGAAGCCTATAAGAAGCAAGCTGATAAACATCGCTCGCTCCAAACCCTTTTGTGTGGGGGACAAAGTTTTTGTAACTACCAAATACATGAGATTAAGAATGCCTAGCCAGAAATTTGGTCCAAAATTTCTAGATCC